TCCCCCTGCACCAGACTTGGCTTGGACCGCTTTTGGAGGACCTGGGGCAGAAATCTTGCCTTTCCCCCACACTCCTGCTAAGCGAGGGCACTGCCACCCCACAGGCGAGACTCCCACTGAAGCCAGGCAAGCGACAGAGCAGTCCCCAAGCTCCAGCACCCCATCTCCCAGGCCCTGGGAGCTCCCAGCACCCACCAGCCCGGCCGCGCTGCTGCGAGAGGCACAGCCTCGGCTGCAAATGCTGCCACCAGTGTTATCACTATCATGGGAGTAATTAGCGCGGACAAAGCCCTAGCGATCAAACACAGCATGAGCCCTCGCCGGCCCCCCTGTACTTTCAGAGTAGCTGCACGGTTTGCCACTTTAACACTCACTGGCTGGCAAAGGCTGAAAGCCTCATCAGTAATTTAGGGCAAAGCACATTACAAGCAGGTTACAATTACGGTTATTCCAAACATCAAGCAAAATCAGAAATTAAGGCTGAAATTTAAAATAAGCAGGTGTTGAAGGTCAGGTTTCTCAAACGAACTCCCCCGGCCCTGTTGAAACGCTGGCTGCAGTGCCCAGGTAGGAGCAGCGTACGTCCACAGCACGCTCAGGTTAAATGGCTGCCGAGATGCATCAGGGTTAGGGCTGCTTTTTCTTCCTTTTTTTTCTGTGAAACTGAGATGAACCTCTTCTAGCACCCTACATCTGCATCCCCTCACCTCAGTTACCTTCCTTTAGATTCACCCACCACTCTCACCTCCTTAACAGCCACAGCTTCAAAGCCACACCTGTGCCTGTGGGGTTTAACCCTGAGCTGTTAACGCGTGCTCCCACAGCACCACCCGGATACTTTGTGCATGGAAGTGAATCTGGTTCTTGTGGGTTTTTTGTTAAATAGAAGTTTTAACTTGAGCACACCAATAAAACAAGCTACTGAGCTAGTTACTATCTGCAGACGCGCAGCAGAGGATTAACCCTTACAGTGGTCGCTTTTCTGCCACATTCACCAGAGCCCGGTCTGACAGCAAGCTGGTGCAGGCAGGACGAGCCACGCAGGACGGTGGCCAGTGCCCGCTCCCCTCCTGCCCATGTGTCCCACAGGCCGGGCAGTGCCTCCTGCAGCCCTCCTCCCCTGCCTGGTCAGGCAGGCCATGCCCATGTGAGTTCCTGACCATGCCGCTACCCCCTCACCTGAGCTCCTCCATTGCCAAAGTCACCTGGGACCCTCCTGCCCACAGAAACCCCCCACTGAAGAGGGTCCTGCTGCAGGACAGAGGCCACAGGTGGTGACCCCAGCCCACAGTTCTGAGCAGGGGCAGCCAGCCCATCCCAACAGCAAGGATGTTGACCAGTGAAACATTTCTGTGGGAGCAAATCCTTCATCGCCTTCAGAACTGGGAAGGGGGAGCAGCTCCTACAAGTGGGAATGGGCTCATGACCTTGGGAGGTTCCCGTGAGAGACACAGCTCTGAGCAGAAATAATTCCACCCTTGATTCTGCTTCTACAACTCTCCACAACAGTGAATCAACACAAGAGTCACCTCTTGTCCACCGTGGGTGCAATTACAGCTGACCAGAGACTGCTAGTGGCCAGGTGACCGGATCCCTCCAACGCAGTAAAAAAACACAGTGGCCTTGGCCACGGAGCTGCAACACTCCTGCCCCTGCAGGAGCTGTCTGCCAGGGGTACGGGTATCCGCTACTTTTCCCTACCTTAAAAAAACCCGCAGTGATTCAAACTGTCTGAACTGAAGGCAGCAATGAACGGTAAAAAATGAACCCAACCGCTTTGGTACCAACACCTGCCTCTCCTTGCTGCCACCAACAGCAAGAGTCACCCAAGTACTGAAGCAGCCCACCTTTCCTTCACGAGAGTTTTGTTGCCCACGCTGCCAAAGGAGGCAGGCTGGGCAGGGCAGGGCAGGGATGCTGGGACCCATTGCCACAGCTGGTCAGACCTTGTCCATCTTGTTGAGATGACCCCGCGCAGACAGAATTCCTAACAGCAGCACTACTCCCTCTGCAAGGCCCACACATCCGAAAAGCCCTCCTGATCTGACAGAGCATCACCCAGGGGCCCAACAGGGGCAAGGAGGGAAGAGCAGCTTGCTGGCTTCCTCCTTCAATGATGTTTCCAAACACCAGTTTTACTGAGCAGCCTCCCGGCTACGCTGAAGTCAACTTTCCAACAGCAGCTGGAAGGTAGCAAGCCAGAAACCAGGATCCTCATGGAAAAGGCATGAAGGGAGACAAGAAAAGAGATGGGCTACAGCCAGAGGCAGGGAATGAGGCCATGGGTTGGAAATGCCATGCAACAGTTCAATCCATGTTCACTGTTCAAAACAAGCTTTTGGGCAAGAGCCTGTTGTGTGAAAGGCTGCTGCTGCCATGAACCTCAGGCTACCATGTGAGCACACGATTTACAGAAGTGATTTTTTCAAACCTGCACTTATGAGAATTCATTGAGAACTTCTCCATTTTACAGATTTAAAAAAGCCTGCACCAAAAATATTCACAGTTTATTTTTCATGAAACAAGTAACCAGTTAACACATGACAATGCGAAGCGGAGGTGGACAGAGAAGAGCAGATACCTTTCTGGTTACAGCTGTAGCTGGCTGGGCGGCTGGCACGGAGGTAACCCTACTTACGTAATCTACATGATTAAGTCCAGCTCATGGGAAAGCCTATAAATGTAAATTCAAGATTTTCCTTCTCACACATGATAAATACTTAATATACTGAACCTTATTACCATTTTTTAAAATTTTGTTTAAAAAAGTTAATGAATGCCCTTAGATTATCTTCTCTATCAATGGCTCTGAGGAGTTGTCCTGATTCCCTTTGTGGAGGCGTCACGCAGAAACACAAGCTGCTTCCATTTCCCCAGTTTCAGTAGCAAGCAGGAACTGACCTGCCAGTCTTCCCGGAAAAAAACAACATTAAACAGCAAGTTTCCATAAGCCATAAAGCTTTTTGAAGTCACTAGCTATTCTACCAAGGATCTGAAATGATTCGGACTAGAGAAGAGATGCACCATAGCACTGGTACGTGCCCAGCACACCCAGCCTTTACAGCAGGATGTTGTCTTGGGGTGCGTACATCAGGAAAAAAGAATGGATCAGGATTTGTCTCAGTACAAGTGTCTGCCTCCTTTCGTAGAACACCGCAAAGCTCATGACTGTTTGCTCTGGGAGCAGCAGGCACTCGCAAGCCAGGCGGGAACAAGGACCTGCTCTCATGTCAGAGGGAGAGGGTGAGCCTGGAGCTGGGCGCTCCCTTTCCAGGGAGGGACCTGCAGATCTGCCTGGAAAGAGAAGGACACACTGGAGCTGTGCGAGGGTCTGGCGGCGGGCATGGAGATCCGAGGCTGCGGCACCCGGATGGGCAGAGCTCAGGCAAACCACAGAGGTAATGTGTTGTGAGAGTGGGAGAGTGTGCTGGTCAGCAGCGCTTCCTTGGCAGGACACCGACCCCATCCAGCCTGAGCAGTGCTGCCCAGGGAGGCCCATCCTCCTCCTGCCTGCGAGGGTGCTGGTGGTCACAAGACGACACTCTGCAGGTCCCTGGGACTCTACTGCTTGTCCCACAAGTACCACGGCCAAGTGAACTTCTGCCTCAACGCTTGAGTGAACAGCTTTCAGCAGGCCTAGTCTGGACACCAGCCTGATGACCACCAGGTTCTAAACATCTCCTGAGATGGAAAAAGGAGAAGAGGAAAAAAGAAAGCCAGCCAGCTGCTGGAGCCCACCGTGTTCCAGTGTGAGAACTACTATTCAGTTGGAAGGACACACACGCACACACACGCACACCAACACGCGCACACCAACACAGTCCAGTTAATTCAAGTCTCCTTTGGTTGTAGAAGAGTTAAGCCAGAAGCTACCCAAGGGGAGAGTGTCGAGATGGGTCCCAATACAGCTACAGCACCCCCGCCTCCACGCTGTGCAGTGAACGGTACAGGGCGCGCCCCGCCGCTGGGAAGACCAGGCATGATGTGAATATGTCCTGAACATGTCTGAGGCAAGGGGAGAAAAGATTGCTCAGTCTGCTGGCTCACGGTGACAACAAGTCAAGAGACTGGATGGGAATTCGAAAGGGAGCACCACCACCCTGCTAGGGCGGTGCTCAGCACCTTGGGGAAATCCACTCTGCCCTGCTCTGCTATTGCTGCTGTATAGGTCACAATGTTTTCAAGTGCAGGAAACACTCTGCATGTCCTGTGCTAAAGGAGTAAGACACAAGAACGAAAGAACTGCCAGATGGCTTCTTCCAAGATCTCTCTTTTCCCTGACCTTCAGATGCCCTGCGTCTCAGGCCTGGCCAGTCGCAGCTTTGTACAACGGAGCCTGAATGGACATTGCCTGGAGAAAACTGCACCGAGTGAGAACAGCAGGCTCCTCTCCCAGCTCAGCTGGAGACAACACCTGTCCTTCAGTGAACCATGCACGCAGCACGACCCAGCGAACACACGGACAAACCTCACAAAGCAACACCCTGTAGGGACAGAGACCTGGGCAGACAACAGATAAACCCCCTTCCCTGCTTCTACAGAGTCTGGCAAGGGTGCACACCCGACTGCTCACCGCCTGAGCCCTGAAACACCTCCAGTCCCAGGGCACCATGACTGATCTGCTCCCTCTAAATACAGTAACAAGAGCAAGGCTCCTGGCTGTACCTTGGAGCCCGCCTACGAATAAGACCTGGAGCTCAAACACGCTGGATCAGTGATGTGACCATTTCAATGGAATTGGAGATTTTTACCCAGAGTGGACACTTTATTTCAGCTTTACCATTTGTAAAAGGAAGAGGAAAAGGTCACAGATGCTCTCTCCCTTTGGCTGGACCACACTCTGACTTAAGTGAATGTCCTTGCTCATGTCACGAGAGAATATGGATGGGATGTGCATGGGTTAGGGGCTGGGCTCAGGGAAGTGAATAAAAAAAACAAAACAAAGATTCCCCCTCCCTAAACATTAAAAGACTGAAACCTGCCTCCCATATTCACCAACCTCACTTTGGCTCTGTGTCGGCCAACTCATGACAGACAGAATCCTGGTTACGGGCTAGCGCAGTGTTTTGTTCAGGCAAAGGGTCCTGCCCCCGAGGAGTCTGTACTTTTCCACTCAGCCAAGAAATCTGGTCAATTGTCTGAGTGTTTGTGACAACCCACTGCATCTGCTCCGGGGGCACGGGCGCTTCCCTGGCTGGCCGAGGGGTCTGCTCAAATGCACACAATCTCTCTGATGTCCAAGGGGTTTGCTCTGCGGGGGCTGAGGCCACTTCCCAGATGGGCTGAAGGGGCGGCTCGGGGAGTTTCTCTGCGGTCCGGGGAGACTGCTCTGCAGGCATGAAGGCTTTTGCAGCAGGCCAGTGGGTTTGCTCATGCGTCTGTAGTTTCTCCGCAGGCCAAGGTACCTGTCCAACATGCATCACTGCTTTCCCAGCAGACCAAGAGATTTGCTCACCAGCTAACATGGTCCTTTCTTTCTGCTGGGGGTTCAGCTCCACGGCCGGGGCTCCTCTCTCCTTCGGCTGCGCGTTCTGGTCGACAGGCCGCAGCGCCTTCTCCGACAGCAACAGCCTCGCGCCCGGAGGTTTGTCCAAGCCTTGAGGCGGAGGAGCCACGGCAGCAGCCAGCTTGTCCGACACCTGAGGCCACGGGGCTGTAAGAGTGAGAGGCCTCTCCAAGAGCTGAGGTCGAGCCACCCCGGAGCCCAGAGCCTTCTCCAGAGGCAGGGCGCGCAGGGCCCCGGAGTCAGCTGCCTTCTCCGGAGGCAGGGGCCGCAGCACCCCAGGGGCAAGAGCCTTCTGCAGGAGTGGGATCCGCAGGGCCCCCAAGCCCAGAGCCTTCTCCACGGGCAGGACATGCGGTGACCGGGAGCCAGGAGCCTTCTCTGGAGGCAGGGGTCGTGGTGTCCCTAAGCTGGGAGCCTTCTCTGCAGGCAGGATCCGTGGCATCCCTGGGGCAGGAGCCTTCTCCAGAAGCAGGGGATGGGGTGCCCCAGGGCTGGGAGCACTCTCCCGCACTGCCCCAGAGAAGGAAGCCTTCTCCAGAGGTGGGGGCCGTGGCACGGCCGATCCAGGAGCCTTCTCCACGTGCAGGATTTGTAGGACTGGGGAATTGGGGACATTTTCAATGGGCAGAGGCCACAGCACCCCAGGACTGGGAGCCATCTCCAATGCTGTGACCTGCGGCACCAGGGAGCTGGGAGCCTTTTCCACAGACAGAAGCTGCAGACTCTGGGCAGAAGCTTTGTCCGATGGCTGAGGCTGATCCACAGGAGGCTCATCCTCTGGCTGGGACTGCAGCGTCCCCGCCACGGTGAGAAGTCTGTCCGACAGTTGAGGATGCAGGCATTTCGTTGGGAACTCATCCAGTAGCTCAGGCTGCTGGGTCCTGGTGTCAATGAGAGACTCGTCTGATAACCCCAAAACCTCGGGGGCAGCAGGAGGCTCATCCGACAGCTGGAGCTGCAGGGCACCAGCAGTAACAAGCGACTCATCTGACGACTGTGGAGTTCCTGGAGGAGATTTGCTCGGCAGATGAGGCTGTGAGGGATCACTGAAGGACTCGTCCAGTGGCCACAGCACCGCGTTGTTGGGAGGTTTGTCAGGCTGCTGAGGCCTCAGCGCTAAGATGATGGGTTGCTTCTCTGACTGCAGCCTTAGGGACAGGGCAGCCTGGGGCCTGTCTGCCGGCTGCAGGCGGAGCGACAGGGTGGTGGGAGGTTTGTCTGAAGGCTGCAGCCGGAGCGAAAGGGTGGTGGGGGGTTTATTGGATGGCTTCAGCCTCAGTGACAAGGTGGTGGGGGGTTTATTTGATGGTGGCAGTCTCAGTGCCAGGGTGGCGGGTGGTTTGTCTGGTGGAGGCAGCCTGAGAGCCAGGGTGGT